TAGCCACGTGGCTTGGTACCTTTTCTCAGTTAGACATTCTCATCTTGCTTCCTCTGCATCTGGCTGGCAACTCTTGACTCTGCCCTTCCTCTTCTTGTCTCTCTCCTGGATTTCCTGCCTGGCTATAACCTGACTCACCATAGGCCAGAGCTTCTTTATTAACCAATCATAGCAACACATATTCACAGTATACAGAAAGACATCCCACAGCAACACACACACACACACACACACACACACACACACACACACATACACACACACACACCTTCCCTGACCTCTAGTAATCACTATTCTAGATTCAAGTTCACTGTTTTTAGATTCTACATATGAGAAAGACAGCACATGGCACTTGTCTTTCTGCGCCAGGCTCACTTTATTTAACATATTTCCTCTGGATCCATCCACAGGACCTTCACTGAGTGCTGGGTATCAGCAGCAATCCTCAGCTCCAAGTCAGCACCAAGATCAGCAGCAGAAACCACCAACTCTAAAGTCCTTTGCCACTAAGCTAGCATGTTCTAGCATATTCTATAAGCTCAGTATATTTTCCACAATAATTTCAATTTGCAGTGGGTTTAAAAATCGAAGAACTGCTGTATTTTAAAAAAATCCAGAGAGTTTAAGAGGTTAAGTAAAGGAACTCCATGGTACAAGGGTGAGGCTGTGTAAAGGGCAGATGCACAGAACAGTATTGGTTGGGCAGGTCTACGTGCCAGGCATTGTCCTGAGTCAGGGGATGGGGGTGCCCAGTATGGGGGGGGCACTCATGGAGTCTAGTAAAACAGGAGTCCCATACACAGGTCTTACCCTGTGGGGACTGGAGAACTTGAAATAAGGAAGAGTCCAGATAAGGAGGCTGTGGAGGTTCTCATGAAGGTGTGGCAGGCTATGATGGCAACTCTGATGACCTTGAGAGCACCCACAGCTCAACACTGTGACTCACCATAAGTGAAAATGACTGGGAGAGGGGCTGAAGGTACCTTCAAGCTAGGGACAACTAAAGGAGCTGGGCAAACTTCTCAGCTCCCACATTAAAAGGGAGAAAATATTACAAGAACATAGAGAAAATAAACTAACAGGACCGAGAGATGAGCTGAATGATCAAGAAGACACTGGCTCCTTAGGGACAGCCACCCAGCTTCCCAAGTGGAATACTCCTCACAATTAATGTCTACCATCTAGTTGAAAAATAATCATGATCACAATGCAACTGCTTTAGGAGATGTCCTTGTCAAATTAGGGCAGCGACCACGGAGGTGAGCTTCATGTTTGTGGAGAGAGGGGAGGAAACGGAGTTTTTGACAGTTCAGGCGCCAGGAAGCCTGCACAGTATGAGTCATCCTGACCTGGAAAAGTAAAGCCAGAGCAGATGTTTGGGATGACAGCGCTGCTCCTATTTATTGTATAATAGCCATCTAACTGTGCTCCTACCAAAATGATCAAATACGTACCATCCAAATCTGCTCAAAGCAAACTCCCTGTTTGCTTTCAGAACATGGATGTGTTGTCCTTTTAAATCAATGAGTTCATCTGTGTGTGCATCTACGTGTACATGAATATGTACATGCAGAAGCCAGAGAATGATACTAAGTGTCCTGTTCTAGAACTTTCCACCTTATCCCTTTGACACAAAGTCTCTCACTGATCTGGAACTAGGCTGGCAGCCAGTAAGACCCTCCTGCCTCCCCACTCTCCCTGACAGAAAAGGTGTTCTAGGCATGTGCAACCAAGCCTAGTTTTTGTTTAATGAGTGCTGAGGATTTGAACTCAGGTCCTGATGTTCAACAGCAAGCACTCTATCTGCTGAGTCATTTCCCCAGCAACCTGTGCTGTCTTTTTGTAGAAGTATGTAAGTCTCAGTATCTGTCTTACCTGCTTAATATTTTAAGGTGTATTTTATTTTTAATTATGTGTACATGTGTGATGGGGATGTGTGCACATGTGAGTGCAGGTGCCTTTGAAGGCCAGAAGAGGGCAACTGGATCCTCAGGAGCCAGAATTACAGGTGGTTGTGAGCTGCCCAATGTGGGTTCTGTGAATCAAACTCATGTCCTCTACAAGAGCAGTGTGTGCTCTTGCCCACTGAGCCATCTCCCCAGTCCCTTACCTATTTAATTTTGCATGTTTGTGTGTATGCATGTGGAGGCCTGAAGTTATCCTTGGGTGTTGTTACTCAAGACACTGTCTATCTTGTTTTCTGGGACAGGGTTTCTTGCTGGCCTGAAACATATTAATTCTGTAGACTGGCTAATTAATGAACCCTAGACACGATCCTATCTCTACCTTCCCAACACTGAGACTACAAACATGGGCCACCATGCCTGATTGTGTTTTAGTCAGTTAGTTTTAATTTTATATGAGCATATGTCTATATGAGTGCATGCATGTGTTTCACACGTGTGTAGGCACCCACAGAGTCCAGAAGAGGATTGTCAGATCACCTGGAACTTCTGCATTTTATTTTTTAACCCAAGAGATGGATTTACCTCAACAAAGTAGCTAAATCTCGGATGGACTCAACAAGCTAAAGAGATGCTATGTACAGAAAGTCTCTCCTTGGTCATTCTTTTAACACCTTCACTAATTCCTAGATTTTTCCCCTGCCTGCCAACATAGGAAATCAAGAGTTTTGCAAACAGTTTTCCAAAAGGACTCCCACTATCAGAAATCTAAGTTCATCAGCTACAATCCATTTGCAGCTGGTTTCTACTTCATGGAGGGACAGGAGGAGCAGCAGTATTCTGAGGGGATGGAACTGGCTCAGATTACAGACAGAAAGTCCTCTCAGGGAGACCCATGAAGTTCCCAGAGCACAGTCACACACCAAGTATTTTATCTTTAAAATCTTCAAATATAAGACAGACCAGAACTTCTTCTGAGCTCACACACTCAAAGTGAGCCCTAACGTTACCCTTGTGAGTTTTCAGAATCTTCTGAGGTCTTCAAATCAACATGCTTTTCAGAAAAATGTGCTGCCTTAGGAGGGCCACAGAATTTGTTTCTAATGTTCACGTGATCATATGTGTACACGAATCCTTACTTCAACCAAAGACAGTATCTATTTCTGTTTGAAATAGAAATGATACACCATTAAAAACAGCAATATTTAGATGTCTGAAATTAGTTACTTTAACTCCAAGGTCTAATTTTAAATGTAGCTATTCTCAATTTCCTTCCTGGCTGTTTTGGTGAGCAGTACTATCTCAATTTGTTCATTTAGCAATAATTTAGTTTTGTGTAATTCCATTTAATCTCTTTCTGGAACCCAGGTACCAATTTCGCTGTTTTTTAATAATAGAGATTGCTTCTTAGCATTCCACTCAGTACAACCCCATTTCGAGAAGCTAAATCCTGACCTCAATGCTCCAGTAATATGAAAATGGAACATTTGGCAAACTCAGCAGTCATCTGAAAGCTACCAGAGACAGCCCTGCCAAATGCTAACCTTCAGGTTTTACGACTGCACTGTACTTCTCGACTCAGGTCCGTATCCCCATCAATAGGGCAGACAGCTCTCCCAACTGAAGCTTTTTCTTGCCAGTGTAGAACTTTAGAACTGGACTTTGCACAAACACTCACAGGCATGTGTGCATGTTTGCACACAGATGTACAACAGGCGTGTGTGCATGCTTGCACAGAGACTTTCAGAGTGAAGCAATAAAAAAAAAACAGTAAAACAGTAGGGTAA